GGAGACAGGATGATCACAGTGGACTCTATAGAAAGGCAATGCTATGGATTGAGTATGTTCCCTCACCTCCCAATGCAGAAGCCCTAATCTCCAGACTGATGGTATTTGGAAGTGGGGACTTTGAGAGGTAATTAGGTTTAGAAGCAATCACGAGGGTGGGGCCCCACGATGGGATTAGTGTCTTTATGAGAAAAGGAAGAAACACCCTCTCCTTCTACCCCCCCACCTCCCCGCTGCATCTCCCCGCAGGCTCTCTCCACTCACAGACCTGGAAGAAAGGCCCTGTGAGCCCACAGTAAGAAAGTGGCTGTCTACAAGGCAGGAAGCAAGTCCTCATCAGACAGCAAATCTCCTGCCACCTTGATCTTGGACTTCCAGCCTCCAGAACAGTGAGAAATGAATGTCCGTTGTTTAAGCTCCCAGTCTATAATATTTTGTGACAGAAGCCTGAGTAGACTAAGATACGTGTTGATACTTAAAGTCTGGTTTGGGGAGGCTTCCCTCCAAGGGATTTTCTTTAGAGACGGTAGATAGTCCCCCATGCCCTCACCCTGTATGAGAGGGTAGTTGGCGCCCTGCCCTCCACTCGAGCAGCAAAGGGGCCACTCCAGGGCACTCTGCACGTGTCCTTTGCAGTTAGTGGGACACAGCAGACTGGAGTCTGATGTGTGCTCGAGAAAATCTTGATAGCGAGAGACTGGGCAATCAGCAGCAGAGTAGAAGGAGCATCCCCTCTGGTGGAGGACCTCACAAAGCTCCCCCCGGGAGAGAAGGAGCCAGCTTGACATGCTGCCCCCAGGGAAGAGGACACCCCCGCCTAGACCAGTGCCAGTCAAGCTGGGGGGCAGGGCAGCCAGTGAAGAGGCCAGTACAAGAGTTTAGCAGAGAAGTAACGGCCGCTACAGAGCAAAGTCGCTTTCCCACACACAGGTTGCAGGGGCGGGTGACCCCGTCCCAGGGAACCCACGGAGGAGCCCCGCTAACCGGTGCTGATGTGAGGAGGGGAGGGGAGATCAACAGGAGCAGAGTTCTGGAGTCAAGTAGCAGGCCCCCTGGTAGCGGACATTGCTGGGGCACATGGACTGTGTCTTCACCCTCCGTGGCCATCCGAGCAGGTGTCTGCTGCCGAGCCCGGCCGGCCTCCAGATCAGAGTCTGAGCTGCCTCGCTGACAAACCCCCTGTCCTCCCTGACCCTCTCCGCATTCCATCCCTCCTGCTCCCGCGAGGAGGTGTCCCAGACCAGGATGGGGCAGGTGGCCCGGGAGAAAGGAGCCGGCAGAGCAAAGAAGGAAGGAGCACCCCTGTCCTGAGCCAGGGAAAGAGCAAGTTCTCCCTTTGAGTGAAGTTGGAAGGTGGTTTGTTTTTATTTTATTTTTTTTAAGATTTTATTTATTTATTTGAGAGACAGAGCACAAGCAGTGTGAGGGGCAGAGGGAGAAGCAGGCTCCCCGCAGAGCAGGGAGCCTGATGTGGGACTCGATTCGAGGATGCTGGGATCATGACCTGAATCGAAGGCAGACGCTTAACCAACTGAGCCACCCAGGTGCCCTGAAGGTGGTTTGTTTTTAAACATTTTTGAAATTTATCTCATAGGATTAGACATTTGCTTTGCTAACAAGACTGACTGATAGACACTTTTTTTTAAATGTAAGTGGGAGCATGAGTCCTGCTCCAGATCTTACCCAGGGGCAGGGAAAGAGCCAGCACTGCCAAGTAGGTTTGCAGGAGAGACCAGAGAAAAACTAAAGCCACTTTCCCCCTGCACTCCATGAACTTGCTCTTTCAAGCAGCAGTGCCAGGCATTTCTGCAGATGCAGAAGCAGAAGCAGAAGGACTGGAGGGGACATCATGGCAGCCTAGGCCCCGTCCAGGAGGTAGAAATCACACAAAAGGACAAGCAGGAAGCCTAGTATGAAAAATCATTCGGGTTAAAAGAGCATCTATAAGATATAAGGAAACTCTACGAGGTGCCCTGGGGCTGAGGGAGGGGACCCAGGCGAGGTCATTTGTTCAGGCTGCACTATGGTCAGAACATTTGTGTTCCCTTAAATTCATCTGTCCAATCCTAATGCCCAGTGGGATGGTATCGGGCAGTGGGGCCTCTGGGAGCTGCTTAAGTCATCGGGTGGAGCACCCTGTGAATGAGATTCGTGCCTTTATAAGAGAGGCTGCACAGAGATGCCCTCACCACTTCCCCCCATGAGGACCCAGCAAGAAGATACCAGCTCCGAAGCAGGAGAAGGTCCCTCACCCAGATGTCACCATGCTGGTGCCTTCATGTTAGACTCCCCAGCCTGCAGAACTGTGAGAAATACATCTTTGTTGTTTCTAAGCCACCCAGTCTATGGTATTTTGTTATATTAGCCTGAACAGACGAAGACCGTGGCTTAAAGAGCAGAAATTTATTTTCTCACAATTCTGGAGCCTGGAAGTCCAAGATCAAGGTGTCCACAGGGTCAGTTCTTCGGAGGCCTTGCTCCTTGGCTTGTACATGGCTGTCCTCTGTCTGTGTCCTCACGTGGTCTTCCCTCTGCATGTGTCTGTGTCCTAATCTCCTCCTCTAAGGACACTGGTCATATTGGATTAGGACTCACCCTTATGACCGCCACAGAATGCCCAGGGGCCTTGGGTTCCAGGTTGAGATGGCTGCCACATGAAGCCACAAGATCTCAGAGGGACAGTGTTCTGGGCCAGTGACAGTGACAGGCTGACTGCCCCACATGTCCTCACAGGCCCCCTGCCGACCCCCAACCCCAGCCCAGCCCTCCTACGGACCCTCTCCCCTCCCCGCCCCCCACGGCCCTGTCCAGAGAAAGCTTAACTCCCGGTTCACTTTAAAGGAATACCATCGTTTATCACAGAGCGTATTTTGAAGGCAAGAAATTGATAACTGACACAGATATCCATCATGAAAATTAACGGTGTGTGTAAGAGCTACCTACTTCACGCTCATTTATTTATTCATCCCGCAGAGACTGTGCCAGGCATTATTCAGGAGCTGGAGGTAGAGAGAGCAAGACAGAGGAAGGTTCCTGCTCTGATCGTTCATCCTGTCTGGTGAGAATCTGCCCACTAAACATGTCTAGTGTCCTGGAAAGAGTCCTCAGGGATCAGAGCCTGGAACTGAAGTCCCAGCTCTGCAAATATTTTGCTGGGTGACCTGGGGAAAGTCACTTGGCTTCTCTGGGCCCTGCTGCCCCCCCACTTTTATTCCCACAGCTGTAACACCAAAGCACCCTCATTTATTTCTGCTGGCCCCTCCTTCCTGGATTGTCAACTCCCCAGGGTAGAGATCGTTGCAACTGTATGTTTCCAGGCCCAGCATGTGGCTGTTTCCTGCCTCTGTGTCACCCGCCACCCACCCAAACCTCAAATTTATATATTCGCCAGAGTGATACTCTTAGCAAGCAAATCAGACCTTGTCTCTTTTCTGTTTACAATTTAAAATGACTCCCTGCAGCTCCCATGAATCCTCTGAGGCTGACCTGCAAGAATCTGGCCCCCACATCAATCTTCCCAAAAACACCCTCCATGTCATGCTTCCCGCAAGCACCTCCTGCCTAAGCAGAGGGTAACTGGTCCCCCAGCCCCGGGGCTGGCCCTCTGTGGATCAGGCAGTCCCTTTGGGTCTTCTGACTCAGCTTAGCCCATCTTCCCCGTGAAGCCTTCCTTACGTCTTCCCTCTCTGTGCTCTTGTACAAATCATCAGCATAACACTGTGAATCACATAACAGCTTACTAAGGATCTGTATCTGCCCCCTTATTGGAAATGGGGAAAGTCGAATGTAGACTGAGTGTTAGATGACACTGAGACATCATTATTGAAATGTTTAGATACAGTGTCATGTTCTTACTTGTTACTATTTTCCCAGGCTTGGTGGGGGGATGTTGTGATAACCTGCTTGGAAATACAGCATCATCAGAAAATAGACGATAATGGTCATAAAATAAAATCATTCTTGAGAAAAATCAGGGACAGGGATTGAGTCTTTTGGCATTTGTGCCTCCATCTGCTAGTGCAACACCTGGCCTATCACGGATAGTTACAAAATTTTGATTGTTGCATTAATCACGAGCAAAAGCAAGAAGGGAGGACAGGTATGGTGTGTTTGTGGTATGGTGTGGAAGTGGGGCTTGTTGAGATGGATGAAAACATGGATGGGTACCTGGGCTTCTGGAAGTTGTAAGGGAAACTGGAAACAGGAACCCCTCCTAACAAGACATTTTAGATGACTTCCTCCAAGGAAAATGGATTTTAGTGTTGAGCTGGTGTGTGTCCAGGTTCTCTGGCTTTTCATACAAAAAGCATCCTGTTCCTTCTAGTGACTGCACTTATTTTTTGTCCGATTTTGTGATTGTAGAGCATGAAATACCCAAGGAGCCCGAGATATGGGGCTAGCAGACAATGGGTCCCCAGTACTGGGACTTAATTTTTGTTTTGTTTTGTTTTTCATAATCATTTCCTCAGCTAACTTGTTATCTTGACTGAGTAGCTGGAATAATCAGAGAAGATTGTCCACAAAGCACCAACTTACCCAAGAGAGAAAGACTGAGAGAGAGATGAGCAAAAGGATATTGGTTTGTTCTGGTGGTCCTTCCTAAGACCATGAAGATTAAAATCGGTTGTTATTTTCATAGAGATTAGTAAGTCATTTATCTTAGGGGTGGACACAATAACCTCTCCCAAATCTGCATAGAGCAAGAGAGAATGTGAAATCGACAATTTGAAGAAACTCACCTAGCTTCTTGGAACCCCAGACAAATCAAACTCTATCGAGGAAATCTATCTTAAAAGCATATTCTGCTCCCAAAGTGTCTGAGTTTCTTTGGAGGTTAGTTTCAAGCCTATTACAAAGATAACAGATACCATTTTACTCCTCTTCGCTTCTATCTCTGTGGGCTCATCTTTGACATCTGTTGGAGTTGGAGGTGAATGGAGACAGTCTTTTGGGCCAACTCCCAGCCTCTGCCTGGCCGGCTTCCCCAGATCAGAACTCACATTTGTTGGCTTTCAGCTTCCTCTCATCCACGGGAATGAGGTCCAAGTAGTCCAGGTAGTATTCGTAGCTGTTGTACGGGGTGGAGATGTTGGTCTGGTTGGCCATGTCTTTGGCGCTGGGCGGGGAGGCGCATCCAGAGCTGGTCAGAGCCCTTGGAGGGACTGGCCAACTGATTTCTGTAAAGTCATCCAAGTGTGTCTGTGGGTCTCCGGGCTCAAGGCCTGCCCACTTATCGGAGCTGTTTGGCTGGGAGAAAGGCCAGGGGGCTGTGCTTGACATCTCTGCTCCCACGTAGAACTTTCCACCCCGCCCCCCTCCTTGATAAAAGTCCAAAACAAACAGAGCTGCAAGGCGGGAGCCCGGGGTTTCCAGCAAAGCTCGAGAATGCCCCTCCATGTAAGAAGGGGAAAACGGGTACCTGGGCCCCTTGAAAGACAAGATGCCAAATAGGGCTTAGGAAAGACACTCGCTCTCTGCTTTACTACTTAAAAAAATTAATAAAACCAAAATGAAAGGCTGGAGGTGCCCTTGACTTACATTAAGGCGATTCTTGGTGCTATTGAGCAACCAGCGAATCACTGACTTAGATTTAATATTTGAGGGCAGAAATTGAGTGATGTCAGCCCTGAACTTGTAGCCTCTCTCATGTACGCGTCGCCAATTAATTAAACCGAAAGAACCCTCTTGTCCCAACTGAGAACACCTCCCAGCTTTTATCTAAAGCCCCCAAGAATGAACCAGTTAGCTGCATTTATTCCTACAGAAGAGGCTGTTTGCCCGGGCCAGAATCCCACATGGATCCGGCTCTTGGGCAATAAGGACCTGAGGGTTCACCCAGCCCTTGGCTGATGACACGTGTGACGAGGATTCTTCGAGGTTTCTGTAGGGAGTGACTGTAAGTTACCCATTCATTTTTCTAAGAGCCACGGACACGATCGAGAGAGGACTATTCTGAATATTTGGGAAGAGCAGGGACTAAATGTGAGAGGAGCCCTAGAATTTAGCCTGTGAGAATCAGTAAGGAAGTCAAAATTCCCAGAATGATGGGGAATTTCCCTCCAAGATACCAACTAGTAGTGTTTCCGGTCTCCACTCTAGAGTAAAGCTGAGCATTGACAGTGTGCACGTCCCTGTGCGTCGGAGTTTGCTGAGGACTTACTGTAACCCCAGCCCGGTACTAAAGCTTTTGCCGGGACAACAGGTTTTGATGTGTCTGACTTTGAAGGATGTATTGAACAGAAACAATTCTACCAGCTCGTCCTTAATTTGGGTTGTACGCGTTTTTATACGTTTAAGCAATTTAACGTATCTCCGTTCAAGTCAATATAATATATTTTTTTTCTCATTCTAAACTTAGACAGTTGGAAGGTTGAAGTCAAGAGGATTTGCAAGATTGGCAGGTAGAGGGATGCCTGGGTGGCTCAATCAGTTAAGCGTCTGCCTTTGGCTCAGGTCATGATCTCAGGGTCCCGGGATCGAGCCCCACATTGGGGCTCCCTGCTCAGCAGTGAGTCTGCTTCTCTCTCTCTGCCCCACCCCCTGCTCGTGCTCTCTCTCTCTCTCAAATAAATAAATAAATAAATAAAATCTTAAACAAAACGGGGCACCTGGGTGGCTCAGTCATTAGGCAACTGCTTTCGGCTCGGGTCATGACCCCAGAGTCCTGGGATTGAGCCCCACATCAGGCTCCCTGCTCAGTGGGAAGGCTGCTTCTCCTTCTCCCACTCCGCCTGCTTGTGTTCCCTCTCTCGCTGTGTCTCTGTCTGTCAAATAAATAAATAAAATCTTAAAAAAAAAAAATTAAACAAAACAAAACAAAAGATTGGCAGGTGGAGAGGATGCAGAGTGTGAGAGTAGCTGAGTCAGGTGGGAGCACTTGCCTCTGTCTCTGCCAGTCCCCAAACCATCCTCCATCTTGACTCCTTCAAGTTTAAGTTCCCCTTGGCCAACAACAACTTCTGGTCTTGCCAGGCCCCAGCGCTTTTCCCTCCTCTCTACTCCAATCACATGTATTTATCATCACCACCACCCTTTAAAAAATTATTTTAGGGGCATCTGGCTGGCTCAGTTGGAGGAGCATGGGGCTCTTGATCTTGGGATTGTGAGTTCAAGCCCCACATTGGGTATAGAGATTACTTAAAACAATAAAATCTTAAAAAAAAATTATTTTAACAGGGAGGTATAACTTATAATATATTAAATGTCTAAATTTTACAGATAGAACTTGATGAATATCACATACACACCCCACACACATACACACATGCAACCATCACTCACATCAAGATACAGAACATTCCAGTGCCCCAGCAGGCTCTCTCATGCTCCTTCCTGCCTGATAACTATCCCCACTCCCCCCTCACACACATATCAAGGAAACCACTGTTCTGACTTCTATCATCACAGATCAGTTTTTCCCAATTTCAGACCGCAACTAAATCTAATCATATAACACAATATGTATCCTTTTGTGTCTGATTCTTTTATTCACCATATTGCTGCATGTAATGGTCTTTGTTCTTTTATTTTCCATATGGTATGTCATCATATGAATATTCCATAATGTATTTCTCCATTTTTCTATTGATGAACATTTGCATTGTTTTCTGGGTTTGGCTATTATGAATAAATGGGCTATGAACATTTTTTTTCATGTATTTGGTGGATATGAGCACTAATTTCTCCTGAGTATATATTAGAAGTAGAATTGATAAATAGCTTTACTAGGTACAGCTAAATAGTCCTCAAAAGCATCAGTACCAATTTACACTCCCACAGAGTAATATATATGTATGGCATATTGCAAGAATGGCTACAGTTCTTTTCCTTACATTCACTGTGTCCTTGTATGTCCTCCCGTCAAAGCGAAAAGCACATTTCTCCATCCTTCAAATGTGGGCTGACCTTGTGACTTGTTTTGGCTTTGACTACTACAACTATTAAGAAGTTGTTATAAGAAGTTCCAGGCCAGGGCGCCTGGGTGGCTCAGTTGGTTAAGCGACTGCCTTCGGCTCAGGTCATGATCCTAGAGTCCCTGGATCGAGTCCTGCATCGGGCTCCCTGCTTGGCAGGGAGTCTGCTTCTCCCTCTGACCCTCCCCCCTCTCATGTGCTCGCTCTCTCTCATTCTCTCTCAAATAAATAAATAAAATCTTAAAAAAAAAAGAAGTTCCAGGCCAGGGGCGTCTGGGTGGCTCAGTTGGTTAAGCGTCTGACTCTTGATCTCAGCTCAGGTCTTGATCTCAGGGTCGTGAGTTCAAGCCCTGCTATGGGCTCTACACCGGGCATGGAGCCTACTTAAAAAAAAAAAAAAGAGAGAGAAGTTACAGCCAAAGCCTTCCATGTGTCCACTCTCCCATACCCCTGCCCAGTCCCTGTGTGAATAAGAGCAAGCTAGGCTGCTGGATGATCTGAGACCTGTTACCCAGTCGACAGCCAACTATCCCCTCAGAGCAGGGTGCCCTAGCTGACCAGCTGCTAACTGCAGATCCATGAGTGAGCATGGCAAAAATCCAATGACCACTTTGCTGAGCCAGTTTTCAGAATTGTGAGATTTTGAGCTACATGAATTGTTTTTCCTTTAAACCACGAATTTTGGGGTGATTTGTTAAGAAAAATGTAATTGATAAAATATCAGTTTCAGTTGCTGCACATCTTCACCAGCCTTTGTTATTGTCAATCCTTTTCACGCTTAGCTATTCTAGTAAGGTCTACCACATTTTAAAATTCACTTCTGTACACGTCCTAACTTCCCTAGCTACTTTTAAAAGTTTTTGAAGACATGGGGCGCCTGGGTGGCTCAGTCGATAAGTGTCTGCCTTCAGCTCAGGTCATGATCCCAGGGTCCTGGGATCGAGTCCCACATGGGGGTCCCTGCTCGGCGGGAAGCCTGCTTCTCCCTCTCCCACTCCCCCTGCTTGTGTTCCCTCTCTCGCTGTCTCTCTCTCTGTTAAAAAATAAATAAAAAATCTTTTAAAAAAACAAATAAAGTTTTTGAAGACAAAGACCACACTTTACACAGTAGCTGTAATATCAGGATTTGTTGATAGTATCAGTCATACTAAAAGATGAGACAAGCAAAACTTATTCCTAATAACCAGAAATCTTAAGGCTGCAAAGAATTATGTAATTGTCAACTAATCCAGGTCCTTGGCATACAAAATTATGAAATTAAAGCCCAACCAAACGGTTCTCAGTAATTGTGGAGAGGCATGCATCACACTAACTGGACCACAGCTAACAGTTGCAAAATCTGGAAAAGAATCGTCATCCATGGTGTTCAGAATCCCATAAAAAAACCCTAGAATTACAAAGACACAGGAAAACTGTGAATTCTGGTCTGGAGAAAAGGATGTCAATTGAAAGAACTCCAAGGTCATCTAGATATTGGAATCAGCAGACAAGGACCTTAAAGCAACTATTATAAATATGTCCATCAAAGACCTAAATAGAAAATATGACCAAAATTAATGAACAAATGGGGGAATCTGAGCAGAGAAAGGTAACCTAAAAACAAAGATGAAAAACAAATGGAAATCCAGGCTTGAAAAGTATGGAGTCTATAATGAAAAATCCACTGGATGGGCTTAACACAGTAATGAAGATGGCAGAGGGTATGGTTGGGGAATATGAGGAGCAATAATTAGAACTTATCCAATCCAAGACACCAAGACAGGATTTAGAAAATGGTCAGACTCTGTGATATGTGGGATAGATAAAGCAGCCTTGCATATGTGTAAATGGTGTTCCGAAGGGCAGGAAAGAGAGAATGGGGCACACACACACATACACACACACACAAATTGAAGGAATAATGGCTGAAAATTCCCTAAATTGGGTGAAAAACATAAATTTGGGGATCTAAGATACTTGGCAAACCCCGAAGGGAATAAATGGAAAGAAAATCACACCTAAGCATGTCATACTATGCAGGGATAAAATTTAACTCCAAGAAAGCATAACAGTAAAAAATCTGTGGGTGTTTAATGACAGAGTACAAAATACATGAAGCAAAAACTTAGGGTACTAAAAGGAGAAAGGAAAATCTACAAAGTTGGGTTTAAAAAAATTTTTTTGAAGATTTTATTTATTTATTTGAGAGAAAGAGAGAGCACAGAGGGATAAGCAGGCTCCCCGCTGCGCAGGGAGCCCAATGCAGGGGTCAATCCCAGCACCTTGAGATCATGATCTGGCCGAAAGCAGACGCTTAACTGACAGCCACCCAGATGCCCATACAAAGTTGCGTTTTGTTTTTTTTTTTTAAGATTTTATTTATTTATTTGAGAGAGAGAGAATGAGAGACAGAGAGCATGAGAGGGAGGAGGGTCAGAGGGAGAAGCAGACTCCCTGCCGAGCAGGGAGCCCGATGCGGGACTCGATCCCAGGACTCCAGGATCATGACCTGAGCCGAAGGCAGTCGCTTAACCGACTGAGCCACCCAGGCACCCCCAAAGTTGTGTTTTAAACAACACAGTGTCAATCTTTGATAGAATAACTAGACAAAAAACCTGAAATGGTATAGAAGATGTAAACAA